CCCGGTCCGATCTCGAACAGGGTGAAACTATGGGCAATTTTACGCATCGCCTCTGTCACCCGGCAGTAATTGGGAACCTGGATAATCGATTTGCGGATCGTATTACGGGGTAATGTTAGCCAGTGCAGTTAGCGAAGGTTCGGCTTCTCGACCATTCCTTGACACCGGATCATGTAGCTCGTTAACTTAGGATGTAGTTGTTGTGTTGACGACAGCTTAAACACTGGGTCTGCCACAGCTTAACTCAGGTGTGGGTTGTTGCGTTGGCGACAGCTTCTACACCTTTAAAAATTTATGCCTAGGCAGCCCTTGGGCAGGAGAATATGTGGAGGGGACGAAGTTTGTGTAGATGGGATGAAGGGTATGTGGATGAGATAAAGGTGTGTGCATGAAATGAAGGGGGTTGATGAGATGAAGGGTGGATGGGAGAAGGTGGGAGAGGTGTGGAGGAGAAGGTGTGGATGGGAGGAAGGGTGTGTGGATGGGATAGGTGTGTGGATGAGATGAAGGTGTGTGGATGAGATGAAGGGTGTGTGGATGGGGAGAAGGGTGTGGATGGGATAGGGTGTGTGGATGGAGAAGGTGTGTGATGGGAGAAGGGTGTGTGGATGGGATGAAGGGTGTGTGGATGGGAGGAAGGTGCATGAAATGAAGGGTGGATGATGAAGGGTGTGTGGATGGGAGTAGGGGTGTGGATGGAGGAAGGGTGGATGGGAGGAAGGGTGTGGATGAGATGAAGGTGTGGATGATGAAGGGTGTGGATGAGATGAAGGGTGTGTGGATGAGATGAAGGGTGTGGATGAAATGAAGGGTGTGGATGAGATGAAGGTGATGGGAGAAGGGTGTGTGGATGGAGGAAGGGTGTGTGGATGGGAGGAAAAGTGTGGATGGAGGAAGGTGTGGATGGGATGAAGGGTGTGTGGATGAGATGAAGGTGTGTGGATGGGATGAAGGGTGAGGTGAGGGAATAGTGGATGGGATGAAGGGTGATGAGGAAGGGTGTGTGGATGAAGGGTGGGATGGGGAGGAAGGGATGGGAGTGAAGGATAGGATGGACAGGGTGTGGTTGAGATGGGTAGGATGTTGATGGAGGAAGGTGGGAGGTAGTGGAGGAGGATGTGAGGTAGGGTGTGTGGATGAGGAGGTAGGGGTGAGTGGATGGGAGGTGAAGGAGGAGGGTGGATAGGAGGAAAGTGTGTGGATAGGAAGGAGGTGTGGATGGGAGGAAGAGTGTGGATGGGAGGAAGGTGTGAATGGGGAGGGGTAGGGTGTGGATGGGAGATAGGGTGTGATGGGCGAAGGATGTTGAGGAGTGGATGATGGAGGAAGGGTGTGTGGATGGTAGTGATTGGGAGGAAGGGTGTGGATGGGAAGGTAAAGGTGTGGGATGGGAGGAAGGGTGTGTGGATGTGGGGAAGGTGTGTGGATGGGAGGGTGTGTGGATGGGAGGAAGGGTGTGGATGGAAGTGAAGGGTGTGGTTGGGAGCGTGGATGGGAGAAGGGTGTGGATGATGGTAGTGTGTGGATGGGAGGAAGGTGTGGATGGGAGAAGGGTGTGGATGGGAGGAATGATGTGGATGGGAGAAGGGTGTGTGGATGGAAGGTAGGGGTGTGAGGATGGGGATGGATGTGTGGATGGAGGTGCAAGATGGGATAGGAGTGAATGGGAGGAAGGGTGTATGGGTGGGTAGAAAGGTTGTGTGGATGGGAGGAGGGTGTGTGATGGGAGGCAGGGTGGGGATGGAGGAAGGGTGTGGATGGGAGGGTGTGGGTGATAGGTGTGGATGAGGTAGGGGTGTGGATGGGAGTGGAGTGGTGGATGGGAGGAGGTGTGTGGATGGAGGTTGGGTGTGGATGGGAGGTAGGGGTGTGATGGGAGGTAGGGTGTGTGGATGGGAGGGTGTGGATGGGAGGAAGGGTGTGGATGGGAGGTAGGGTGTGTGGATGGGAGAGTGGTGCGTGGATGGAGGTAGGGGTGGGATGGGAGGTAGGGTGTGTGGATGAGGAAGGGTGTGTGGATGGAGAAGGGTGTGTGTGGATGGGAGGTAGGGTGTGTGGATGGGGAGTAGGGTGTGTGGATGGGAGGTAGGGTGTGGATGGAGGTAGTGCGTCTGAGGAGGTAGGGTGTGATTAGGAAGTAGGTGTGGATGGGAGGAATGGGCATGGATGGGAGGTAGGTGTGTGGATGGGAGGTAGGGTGTGGATAGAGGTAGAGTGTGAGGGGAGGTAAACGATGGTTAGGGGTGAGGAGGTAGGTGTGGATGGGAGGTGATGTGGGATGGGAGGTAGGTGTGTGGATGGGAGGTAGGGTGGGTGGATGGGAGGTAGGTGTGGATGGAGGTAGGGTGTGTGGATGGAGGAAGGTGTGTGGATGGGAGGAAGGGTGAGTGGGTGGAGTTAGGGTGTGTGGAAGGAGGGTGAATGGATGGAGGTAGTGTGTCGATGGGAGGAAGGTGTGGATGGGAGGTAGGTGTGGATGGGAGATAGGTGTCTGGACGTGAAGGATGTGGATGGGATGACAGGTGTGGATGGGAGGATGTGGAAGGAAGGGTGTGATGGGAGGATGGGGTGTGGATGGGAGGTGAGTAGAGTGAGGATGTGTGGATGGGGGGTGGAGGGAGAGGGAGAGAGTAGGTGTGGATAGAGGTAGGGTGTGTGGATGGGAGGAAGGGTGTGTGGAGGGGAGTTAGGGGTGTGGAAGGGAGGGTGAGTGGATGGGAGGGGTAGTGTGTGTCGATGGGAGAAAGGGTGTGTGGATGGGAGGTAGGGGTGTGTGTGGATGGGAGATAGGGTGTTTGATGTGCAGGAAGGATGTGGATGGGGAGGACAGGTGTGTGGATGGGAGGGTAGGATGTGTGGATGGGAGGAAGGTGTGTGGATGGGAGGACAGGTGTGTGGATGGGAGGAAGGGTGTGTAGATGGGAGGAGAGGTGTGTGGATGGGAGGTAGGATGTGTGTAGATGGATGCGGATGGAAGGGTGTGTGGATGGGAGGTAGGTGTGGAGGGGAGGTAGGGGTGTGTGGATGGGAGAAAGGTGTGTGGTCGATGGGGGAGAAAGGGTGTGTGGATGGGAAGATGTGATGGGGGAGGTAGGGTGTGTGGATGTGGGTGAAGGGTGTGGATGAGAAGGGTGTGTGGATGGGAGGAATGGTGGATGGAGTTAGGGTGTGGATGATTGGTAGGGGTGTGGATGAGGTAGGGTGTGTGATGGGATAGGGTGTGGATGGGAGGTAGGGTGTGTGAGATGGGAATGATATGTGGATGGAAGGTAGGGGTGTGGATGGGAGGTAGAGTGTGGATGGGAGGTAGGGTGTGGATGGGAGTAGGGTGTGGATGGGAGGTAGGGTGTAGTAGGTGGGAGGAAGGGGTGTAGAGGTAGGTGTGGGATGGGGAGATAGGGTGTGTGGTTGCGCAGGATGTGTGGATGGGAGGACAGTGTGGATGGAGGGGTGTGTGGATGGGCAGGATATGTAGATGGGAGACAGGTGTGTGGATGCAGGTGATGATGTGTGATGGAGGGTGAAGGTGTGGATGGGAGGTAGGGTGTGGATGGGAGGTGGTGGATGGGGAGAAAGGGTGTGGATGGAGAAAGGGTGTGGATGATGGAGAGGTCGATGGGACAAAGGGTGTGTGGATGGGGAAGATGTGTGGATGGGAGGTATGGTGTGGATGGGAGGAAGGTTGGTGTGATGAGGGAAGGGTGGTGGATGGAGAAATGGTGGGATGGGTAAGAGTGTGAAGGAGGTAGGGTGTGTGGATGATGGGTGTGGATTGGGAGTGAAGAGTGTGTGTGTGGATGGGAGGAAGGGTGGATGGGAGGTAGGGTGGATGGGAGGTAGGTGTGTGGATGAGGTAGGGTGGATGAGAGGATGTGGATGGGAGGAAGGTGTGATGGGAGGAAGGATGTGGATGGTGGATGGGTGTGGATGGAAGGAAGTGTGAATGGGCAGGTGTGTGGATGGGCAGGGTGTGTGGATGGGATTAAGGGTGTGTGGATGGACAGGAAGGGTGTGTGGATGGGAGGGAGAGGTGTGTGGATGGGAGGAATTGTGTGTGTGGATGGGCAGGAGGGCCTCCATCACTCCTACTCATCTAACCCTCACACCCAACCCTCCCTCATACCCGCACCCACCCAACATATCTACAGTATATGTAACATCACAATCAATATAACAGGAAGTATAAATAAAACACATCTCTAATACTTAAAACTTTATTGAGTAAAGCTTTATACAGTTGTATCACATACTGAGATATACGTAGAGTATGGTAGAGACAGACACATATGTAGAGTATGGTAGAGACAGACACATATGTAGAGTATGGTAGAGACAGACACATATGTAGAGTATGGTAGAGACAGACACATATGTAGAGTATGGTAGAGACAGACACATATGTAGAGTATGGTAGAGACAGAGAAAAACACATTTATTTCTGTACACAAGAATAAAACAAAAAAATAAACACAGACAAATGTTCCTTTAAAACAAAGAACCAATTGTGGGAAATAATAACAAACACAAACTGAACTTAACAAGACTATGGACTAGGAAGGAAACTGGTGTGTAGGCCAGCTTAAATATGTTATTATTTAGTATATACAAGAACACCACACAGTACTAGTAGTGGGAGGATTACCTGGGTGGGGGAGGGTTACCTGGGTGGGGGGTTACCTGGGTGGGGGGAGGTTACCTGGGTGGGAGGGAGGTTACCTGGGTGGGAGGGGTTACCTGGGTGGGGGGAGGGTTACCTGGGTGGGAGGAGGGGTTACCTAGAGGGGGAGGGTTACCTAGAGGGGGAGGGTTACCTAGAGGGGGAGGGTTACAGAGGTGGGAGGTAACCTGGGTGGGAGGTAACCTGGGTGGGGAGGATACCTAGAGATGGTGGGTTACCTGGGTGGAGGTTACCTAGAGGAGGTTACCTAGAGGAGGTTACCTGGGGAGGGGTTACCTGGATGGGGGAGGTTATCTGGGGTGAGGAGGGTTACCTAGAAGGGGTTTACCTGGATGGTGTAGGGAGGGGCATAAATTTCCTTTCATGTATTTAAACAGATTAGCATTTAAGTAATATGTAGGAATTATGTTACAGTGCTCCCCAGAAGTTGATTAAACAAAATGTACACATATTTATTTATTTATTTATTATTTACTTCTCTAGATCAATGGTAGAACAGACAGTGTGTATAGTCATGTTACCTGGGCTATACCGCTGTGTGTAGGGAGGCGTGTCTGTCAAGTGGAGATGGTCAGCTGCCTCGTTCATTATGGGAGTGAACATCAGACAGCTCACACACACTTGTTCATCATGGTAGTGAACATGATATACCCTACAGACTGTTGTTTATCCTGGCAGTGAACAGAATATAGCTTACAGACTGTTGTTCAGCATAGTAGTGAACAAAATATAGCTTACAGACTGTTGTTCATCCTGGCAGTGAACAGAATATAGCTTACAGACTGTTGTTCAGCATAGTAGTGAACAAAATATAGCTTACAGACTGTTGTTCATCCTGGCAGTGAACAGAATATAGCTTACAGACTGCTGTTCATCATAGTAGTGAACATGATATACCCTGCAGACTGTTGTTTATTCTGGTAGTGAACATGAATTAGCTTACAGACGTGTTCACCATGATATTGAACAGAAGACAGCTCACAGACTGTTGTTCATGGTAGTGAACAAAACCGCTCAGATTTGCTCATCATGATACTGAACAGAAGACCGCTCACAGACTTGTTCATCATGATATTGAACAGAAGACCGCTCACAGACTTGTTCATCATGATATTGAACAGAAGACAGCTCACAGACTTGTTCATCATGATATTGAACAGACGACAGCTCACAGACTTGTTCATCATGATATTGAACAGAAGACAGCTCACAGACTGTTGTTCATCTACTGGGCAGCAGCCACCTTCTTCTTGCGTCGTCGACCAATGTGCAGGGCGACTTTGCCTTGCTTGATCTCCTTGAAGGCGAGTATGGCGTCCTTGTGGGAGCTGCCGTGTAGAGGTCTCCCGTTGATGGCCAGGATCTCGTCACCTAAAGGAAGAGTTTATATATGTACTTCACCATACAAACTACACTTCACAACAAACACTTCACTTCAAAATACACTTCACACAATATATAATTCAGACAAATCAAATTAAAGAAAACTAAATACGTTCCTTGTTTATAAAACATATTTACTGTACTGTACTACATCACTGTATTTCACCACCAAAACTAACTCTCTCTCTCTCTCTCTCTCTCTCTCTCTCTCTCTCTCCTCCTCCATAATAATCACCCCATGTATTTTATCGAGCGAGTGGAGGAAGTTAGTGGTTGTGGCCATAAACCAAGAAGTGTAAAGGTTAATGGAAAAGATCATTACGGTGTGACTACAAGAACAGAGGCTGGTGTACACTACCACCTTGAGGGACAACGAACACAGAAGCTATATCATCAACGTCTACCCGTCTATATGGCCTGGCGAACGTTTGCTCGTCTTCTGCCTACACTGGTGAACTTTACAGAGAAGAAAACACGGTACTGACCTTCTTGTAGAGCGCCTGACGTAGCTGCCTGGCCCTGAGGGAAGACTGTCTTGACGAAGATGCCCATGGAGCCCTTAGGGGAGTCTGTGCCCCCTACTATACTGAATCCCAGGGAGCGGTGACCAGGACCTTTCTCAAACACTACAGTCCTGATCTGAAAGGTCACTTCACGTTTCTGGCGAGGTAGTGTGCAGAAACTGGGCTGACCCTCGCTCTGAAACACAACACAATATAAAGTTTAGTTTCTTTGCTCTCTCTCTCTCTCTCTCAAAATGAAATTAAAACTTATTGTGAGACATTTGATTAGGTTGGGTTACACAGTAAACACTTTATGTCGTGTTATTACTACAGTACATCTCAAACTCTTATTCCCACCCACTCTATCTTACCCACCTAGACGTCACCCACCACTCAAGACTCAAATCACTGGTGAAGCCTAAATCAACTCCGTCAACTAAATCACCTTCAACTCAACCTTCTGCATACCTAAACAGTTTACTGAATCACTTAACGTTGCCGAACCTCAAATTCACCTACCTGACACCTTTTACGTAATACCTAATCATTTCTCAAATTCATATTCATAGCTAAAACTCAAAATTAACCTAGCCTAACCTAATCGTCTCCCTGATTCACTTATGTAGTTGAAACGTATCAAATCTGCACAGCCAATCTCCTGACACACCTAATCATTCACCTAAACCACATATCCCACTTTGATTAGTAATTGGCAAACGTAGGACACTTGTACAGCTTAAACCTTCACTGACAGCCGTGTATAACAATCCTACAGCGGTTGCCCACGAGAGAAACGCCGAAATACTACACAATGGGGCGGTGAGGAAGTGCGGGTTACCTGCTGCTGTCGGTACAAGTTCAAGGAGCAAGGTTACGCCTCACAGAAAACGGGTTCTGGGGGTCAACTTCCATAAATGGGCTCAAGCTCCACCTCTTCTTCTGTACCTCCTCCTCCTCCTCCATCTGCCACTCCTCCTCCTCCATCTGCCACTCCTCCTCCTCCATCTGCCACTCCTCCCCCTCCCCCATCTGCCACTCCTTTCTCCATCCCTCCCCATCTGCTCTCCTCCTCCTCCTTCCCCTCCCCCATCTGCCACTCCTTTTCCTCCTCCATCTGCCAATCCTTGTTCCTCCTCCTCCTCCCCATCTGCCAATCCTTTTTCTCCTCCTCCATCTGCCACTCCTTCTCCACCACCCACGCCCTAAGACAATGGGAGGAAACACGCCCTCTCTCTCTCTCCTTCATTTACGACACCTGAGAGAAAATGAGATCAGGAGAAACTACTGAATTATGGAGACACAACCTGTACACCGCCACACAGGTAGGTTAATTGGCCTATATACAGGTACAATACTATAATAAATACAGGTACAGAAACAAGTGCAGATACAGGTACAGACGCAACTCCAGGTCCAGATACAGGTACAGATACAGGTACAGACGCAACTCCAGGTCCAGATACAGGTACAGATACAGGTACAGACGCAACTCCAGGTCCAGATACAAGTACAGATACAGGTACAGACGCAACTCCAGGTCCAGATACAAGTACAGATACAGGTACAGACGCAACTCCAGGTCCAGATACAAGTACAGATACAGACGCAACTCCAGGTCCAGATACAAGTACAGATACAGGTTCCATATACAAGGACCATTATAATCAACCAGACTTCGAAATGATAAAATGTAAACAACACAGTAACTATTTCCTTCGGTAACACACAACAACAACGAGTAAGAACACGTAGGGACACAGGACACACCCAACAGCATCACGCACGTCTTCCTCTCAGTCAATATATGTTACTAAATATATAACACAGTGAGGAAATGTCTTCTTATCTCTAATATACCCAACAGAGAAGTGCGACCTAACCTAAGTTAACCTAACCTAACCTAACTTAACATGACCTAATCTAACCTGACATAACCTAACTTAACCTAACATGACCTAATCTAACCTGACATAACCTAACCTAACCTAATCTAACCTGACGTAACCTAACTTTATCTAACAAAACCTAACTTGACCTAAAAGTGTACCGAGTCGTAACGTATTATATTACACGTTATAACCTCGATCATAACATTAAGGTGGTACGTCTTAACCTAACCTAACCCCCTCCTCCTAGTCTCTACTCCATCTAAACCACCACCCACGCCTAACCCTTGCCTCACCTCCCATGCCCTCTTTCTCGGCTCATGTTATATGTATCCACCACCCACCCACCCACCCACCCACTCATCCATCCATCGCCGCCCAAATACTACCACCACCATCCACCCACCACTACCACCATCACCACCACCACTACCACCATCACCACCACCACTACCACCATCACCACCACCACTACCATCATCACCACTACCACCACCCACCACCATCACTCACCATCAACAGTAAAAAGAAACAATTCCTAGAGGTAACAGTGCCAGTGTGCGTATGTATGTATGTATGTGTCGTGTCTGGCTGAGTGGCACTGTTAAAAGTTTTCAGGGATAATGACACTTCCCGGAACTTCCTGATACCGTCACTCACCGGTACTTTCCCTCCAGTTTCCGGCGCGATATTTTGTTGTTGTTATTTTTACCGTCAATGTTTTCCTCCTCTTGACTTCATCGCTTAAATTTGTCTTCTTAACATCTTCACAACCACGAGATCACCACAACACAACCACGAGATCACCACCACACAACCACGAGATCACCACCACACAACCACGAGATCACCACCACATAACCACGAGATCACCACCACATAACCACGAGATCACCACCACACAACCATGAGATCACCACCACGAGATCACAACCACTTAACAACGAGAACACAACTTCATGACTACGAGACCACAAGCACATCCAATCTACGCCCCCTTCACCTCACTTCCGCCCCCTCACACCATCTACGCCCCCTCCCCCCCTAAGTGGCACAACAACCACAACTTTATAACACAAGTGTTTTTGTCTTCCTCCACACGTTCCATCACGACCCGGCAGCTGTGTGAGTGTGAACGTGATGACCCTGAAGGAATGTCATCATGATTTGGTGTTGACAATTATGCGCGCCAAAAAAAAAAGTAAAGAGACATTTTTACGCGCCCAAAAAATAAACTTAATACGCGCCAAAAAAAGTAAACAAACAGTTAATCGCCAAAAAAATATAAACAAACAATTTTACCCACCAAACAAACAAACAAACACTCCTAAAACAACAAGATAAATCAACAAATTGCGCGCCAAAAATAGTCAACAACACTTACGCGCCAAAAAGATACACACTGGGCGCCAAAAAACGTGATTCCGGGGGGGGGGGGGGACACACCAGATGGCTTGGGCGCTCGTTACAGACCAGTACGTGGTGGTGGTGGTGAGGCAGAACCAAGAGGCCTCACAAATACCAGGTGACTACAACAATAACAACACGTGGTCACCTGGTGATTCGTTTCCCACAGCTTAATAATTCACCTGAAGATTAACCAGCCTTGTGTTAACCTAACCCAACCTTACATATCCTTATCCTAAGATGAAGAAAGAAGAAGAAGGAGGAAGAGAAGGAGGAAGGAAGAGGAGGAGACGAAGGAGGAAGGAAGAGTAGGAAACGAAGGAGGAAGAAAGGGAAGGAGAGAGATTGTGTGTGTTTTAATGTGCTATGCATGAGAGAGAGAGAGAGAGAGAGAGAGAGAGAGAGAGAGAGAGAGAACGGTGATGAAGGTGTCAATTAGCGAGGTGTCACGTGATAGCCACCAGCGCGGGTTGGTCACGTTACACCTGAGGCCATGTTGATTGGTCGGGCGTAGCTTGCACGCACACGCACGCACGCACCAACTTCTCTTTCCTGGGTCACACAATTTGACCCCTCCTGGCCTAGCATCTCTGCCTCAACATGACCTCTCTTGACCCGACCACGCAACGTAACCTGAGAGAAGGAGGAGAGGAAGGCGAAGGAGGAGAGGAAGGCGAAGGAGGAGAGGAAGGCGAAGGAGGAGAAAAACTACAAAACAGTTAAATAGAAGAAACAGTAATTGTCGCCAACATCAAAACAAAGCCACTCAGCAAGCATAATAACAATCTGTTTACTGTATAACCACTCAGAGTGCGTAACATGATTAACACGAGGATTGACGGAGCTTAAGCCTTGCAAGGATCAGTAGCAACAGGAGTCAGCGCCGTCAGCAAACAGAAATAAACAACAGTAAAACAGCAACAGAATCGCAACAGGACATTTCACAGCAAGTACAGCAACGGGTAGCATAATCAAACAATATTCACAGGACCATTAACAGCACTAACAGCAATACAACATTCTACAGTCACCAAACCTCTTAACAGCACTGGAGCAAAAAACAGCGTATGTAACAGCATCTCGGCCCATTAACAGCAGTAAGTTCTTGTCCTTAATACCAACACAGCATCTAACAGCGACACTATACTTTGAACCAATCCTCCACAGCACCACCTTAACAGCATCCTGTCCTCCCTAACAGCACCACAGCACCCCCCCCTCTCCCTCCTCTATCACCACCAAAGTCTTCAACCATCAGAAAAAATCTTTATTGAACAAGAATAAAAATTGAAAAGGACCATTGTACTCTCTCTCTCTCTCTCTCTCTCTCTCTCTCTCTTAGTTTGAAAAAATACGAAATGACTCACTCCAAAGGTCACGCCCCTCCTCCTCCTCCACCTACACTCTCTTCTTCCACCTCCTCTTCTCCCCCCGCCCCCCTTCCCCTCCTGGGCATGGCCTCTATGACCTCTCACGAGCGGGGTTAGTCAGGGTCGTTTCCGCTCTAACTAACACACACACACACACACACACACACACACACACACACTAAAGAAATTAATAAAGAAAAGAATAATGTTAAATAACAACAACAATAATAATAAATAATAAGAATAAGTAATGAAAAAGACACCTACAGTACATACTGGTACGTGAAAAACAGACAGACAGACAGACAGACATTGAAGACCAACAACAACCATCTCATTTGGGTATTAAAAATATCCAATATATTTATATATATTTTTTTTGCCCCGCGAGGAGGCTAGTTTATTGGGCACCCTCTTGCATCCTGTGCAGAGTTCATGCTTGCCTAATTAACTCATGCATTTAAGGGCGTAATTGCCTGAGGGGCCAGGGATTTCATCGGCAAGTTACATATAGTGAGAATTACCGATACAAT